GTTATCTTTGTCTAATATTTAAATTTGTTTGATGATCTGAAACATTTTAGTGTGACAAACATGCAAAGAAATAAGAAATCAGGAAGGGGCAAACACTTTTTCACACAACTGTAGATAGATAGATGTTAACAGTCCACAGAGACAAAACCCACTTCAAAAAACTTGAATCCATGTCAGTACAGCTTTTCTTTTCTTACATTATGTTTTTGATTTTATCAGTTTCTTTATTTCCATATTCGTTTCTCTTTCTGTTGCTTGAGTCGTACTCTATTTTTCCATGCGTCTGTCATTCGGAAGCTTTTTCTTTCTGTTTTCTCTCAATTTGCTTATATATTTCTTTCTTTAAAAATAAAAATCACACACCCGCCACATTCATTTCAATGAGGCCCTTTTGATTGATGCTCTGGAGTAATGACACAGAGGGATCTGGCTTCATGATGTGGCTCTCCTAGTACATTACCATGATTTCAGCTGGATAAACAAGATGGAGGATAAAAAGTGACAACTTTCCAGAGTTGTAAACCCTTTCTCTTACTGTGCAGTGCTTCGGTGTCTGATAAGGCCTCAGGCTCATGGATCTGTTACTCTCACATGAAATAGACACTTTTATGTCACTTACCCTCATGCAGCTTGCAATGAGGAGGATCCACAGGCAGGCGAACAGTCTGTAAGCACACAACAGATCAGTGAAAATGACAGTGGCTCCCTCTGGAGGAGGGAGATAGCAGCACTGATTTATAAACAACTGAGCAGCCGTCATGACACACTCACCCTGCTCCCAATTTGCTGAAGTCTCTCTTGGACTGGAAGGTGTAGATTGTGAGTCCAGCAAACACAGCGCAGGTCAGGAACAAGGCTTGCAGTACAGTGGAGTATTCATAGAAGGTCACTGCGGAAAGAAAAAACTCTGCGGTTAGTCTGCAAACAGGTTTAAAGAAGGGAAAGTCACTCAATCAAAAAATAATACTTACAAGCTGTGGCCACAGAAATTGCTTCCAGCAGAGTCTGAAAACAAGACACGATTAGTGATACTTACACTCGAACCAGCTAGAGGCTCCGAGAACAAGCTACTGTAAAGACTACAGTCACTGAGCAGCTAACATGAAATGAGTTCATATGGAATTCAATGGAAGGGGTTCACACACAGCACCTATATGCTGGACAGTGTAGGCTGGACTGTAGTGCTCCAACCAGACAATCTAAAGCTTTCCTTCTCTAACACTGAGCTAGCAAAAGAAAGCTTACAAATACGAGCAGCAGGTAGAGGTTGACTGGATGCTGGTGTCTGTACACAGCCAGGGCCACCAGAACCACCAGAGAGCCCAGAGCTGAAACCAACACCACAGCAGGACTGGGGAGGAAACCAGATCACAGTCAGACAGCATGGCTAACACACTGACAGCATGGCTTACACAAGCTTCAAGGGTATCATCCCGAAAAGGTGTGCGATAAATCAATTCCAACGCCACTCTTTAAATGGGAGCAGATGATTGTAAATACAGGATGATATCAATAACAGTCAAAAGGGGACTATTTAAACAAACATATGGAAAGGGTCCAACTGTTGACACGTCCATTATACATCCAACACAACTGATATTAGCTGGAAGCACAACTTTAAAGGAATACTTCACCCTCAAAATGACCCTTTGTATATCAGTTGAAGTGTTGAACAATACTTCATTTTACTCGCACGCATCAGCAGTGAACAAAGAATCCGAAAAGCTAAGTAAATCCTTGATGAACTGAAGTCAATAGGGTCAAGGTGCAACAATAGCTAAAGCACATCTAAACAACCGTTTACCAACGCTCATGCTTGCACACAGCAGTGGCTGAGGTGTTTTAAATGGTTAGTGTTTGGAGAACTGGATAAATGAGACTTAGGTTATACTGAACAAGTTGTGTGTTTGTAAAGGATGTTCTGATATAGTTTTGCTGTGGTTAAACGTAGCCTCCACTTACATCAATTCATGAAGGATTTACTCCGTTTTTTGGTTCTTCATTCATCAAGGGGGCATGCGAGAACAACGTTTTCTTTAAGAAATCAAGGTAGCAGGGGATGAGTAACTGATGTATTTACTTTAAAATATCACTATGTTATGGATAGAGATTCACATAGGAAAAGGAAAGGTCTGTGGTTCCCTACACTGTGGATGTAAAGTGAAGTTGCCTGGTCTCATCTTGATATCCTCACCTGGTGTGGACAAACTCCTTGATGGTTTGAGAGAACATGAAGAGGGCAGAGGTGGCTGTGGTCAGGATGATCTGCACGCTCAGCAGGGTGTACACCTTCCTAAGGAAGTCTGAACAACAGAGACAACAATGTAGTCGTGACAGTACAGTTGCTGAGCCCTCAGCTGGATTGTACACTTAACGCTAATTTTGAACCAGAGGCTACGAATTTTATGTGTTAATGTGTGCGAACATACCACCATCTTCACAGCCGGCTCGTTTATTTAACAGTAAGCGGTACAACAACATCAGGTAAGTAGCGTTAGTTAGGTTTAACCATAGCTTCAGTTGACGTTATAGCAATGCTAACACCGTAGACGCTGGAATGGTTAAGCTAATGCTAGCTACTGGCTTAGGTTTCAACCAAGCTAACACTTTTTCAGACACCGTAGTAATGACTGTTTGTTAGTTATAGCTATAACAACAGTACAGTAGTGTATATGTCTGCAGTACAGAATGTTAACTAGTGCTAGCTGACGTGGCTAGGTACGACCCAAACATTACTTTACTTACCCATACGTATCTGGATACTGGCTGTGGCGACATTCGTGCCATAGTTAAAGTCGTCTTCTATTGAAGACCTGGGGTATTTTTCAGTACTCATCGTGTTTCTTCAACGTTTTCTCAGCTCGACAAAGAAAGGTAGCGTTAAGTCGTTACTGTGGCTTCAAGAGAACACGGAAACGCTGGTGTTTGAGAGGCGGCGCTCGTGACCAACGCCAGGACGTGACGTCAGCGAGCTGAGTAAACATCATTTCAACGTCATTTTAAATAATCGATTTACTCATTTATGTCAAAACAGCTTCAATTAAAAAATATTTGATGAATAAATAAATAAATGTCCTCTTATTTCATGTGTTTTCAAGTTCAAACTTTAATCCTTAATGTTTCTGAGTAAATGGAATTTGTTGTGATCTTTGTTTATCTTTTTTACCAGCTTCCACTGGTTTAACGTCACATTGCAATGAATTGTGGGTAATTCCCTTGGGCAAAGTCTGCATCTAATGCTGATTTACGGAAAGTGTTCATAAAGGGCTCAAAATGTCTGCCAGAGAGCTTCAAACACTCGATGATTTGACAGTAAGGAGGGACAAGTCTCTTAATTGCATCCCCTTTTCCCTCACTTGCGTCCTTTCCTTGCGTCTTAGTTCCTCCCACCAGGGGAAATGGGTGCATCCCAAGTCACTCAATTACATCCACGTTTCCCTCACTTGTGTCTTGCGACATGAAATGATGTACTTGAAGAGACACACACCAACCAGGAAGAGACTCAGAATTACCACAAAGAGACACAAAAGGACTACAAAGAGACTGATGCAACACCGCTGCAAAGAGAAACAAAAAGACTATGAACAGGGGCAAAACAACCACAAAGAGACTCACAACGACTATGAACAGGGGCAAAACAACCACAAAGAGACTCACAACGACTATGAACAGGGGCAAAACAACCACAAAGAGACACAAAATTATACCACAAAGAAAGACAAAATTACTACAGAGAGAGAGAGAGAGAGAGACAAAGCGAAGGGGCAAAACAACCACGGACATAAAATATATACAAAAAACAATTATATAGTGACACAAAACAACTACAATGAGACAGAAAATAACCACAAAGAGATCAACAACACAGGGAGACTGGTAACGACTACAAAGAGACACAAAACAACAACAAAGAGGCTGAACAGTAAAGTCCGTTTCTTGCTGCTATTTGGTAGAGGCGGAGGGGCCTTTTGTACATAATGAAACACATCCCTCCTGTCCTGCTTTTTTTCTGCTTATCACTGTGGTGAATTTGGGTTTTCAGGGAGTTTCCACGAACCTCCCCTGTCCACGATGAACCAAACCTGTGTGGGCATGTCTTACCTAGCAACAGTGTGATGGAAATTAAGGATTGGCTGGTGTCATGCAGTGGGCCGTCTTAGGCACTTGATATATTTGCTCTGCCCTACACTTTCGCTTTAGTTGAGCTCTGTGAGGACAGCGAACGCACGTTTCTGAGAGACTCCAAAAGAAAAACTGACCAAAGATGATGTTTGCTATTTTTCTGACAGCTCTTCTAGCTGTCTCCTTTGCTGAGGAGCCCAAACACAGTGAGTACAAGATAGATAGATAGATAGATAGATACAGATATATACTTTATTCATCCCCAGGGGGGAATTTGTTTGTAGCAGCAGCAAAGAAGTTACAGTTACAGTAGCCTACTATGTTTCTATGCTGTCATTTAAACTAAACCATTTTGAACTGAAGAATACCAGAAAGTGTATCTCAAGTGAAAATGGCCGTCATCCTTGATGGCTATAAGTAAACTAAAAGACAGATGAATCAGGCTGTATGTTTTTGATAAGAAACCTACAGAATACAAGCAGGCAGATGCTGATGTAAGAGTCAAATGTAGAAGAAAAACGTTCGACAACAATGTTTTTAATTCGGTGGAATTCCCCTCAACGGTTCGAATTCAGTTTCGATTTCCTGTAATACCAACTGTGCTGTGACAGCACCCTCTACTGGCTCAGCCCGGTACACACAGATACTGATGAGGTTGTTGTTGTGATAACAATGAGCTCCCATAAGGAAAGTAGTGAGAGTGCAGAGCAGCTTTTCCTCTGCTCCATTGTTCAGTCAGGTACCATCAAATCAAAAGGACCTTCACCGTGGTGGTGATTAATTTCATTTTTATTTTGTTTTATTCACCTAGCTTACATTTTCTCACATGGAAGAGGAAAAACAAGAGTGACAGCTTATTTGTATTTTTCTAAAATACATCTAAAATGTTGTTTCATTTGTGAAATCTCAAATTATAAATTATGACACGAAACAGTTGGATTGTAGATCCAATGTTAAAAGGGATTTTTGTTCTCTAAATAATCCTATTGCATATATCCAGAATGTAAAAAACAAAAAGTGTGGATATCTGAAATTGAAAGCCCGATACACAGAATGGCAAAATCATTTTCAATAGTGATTTCATATAATTTTCATAGAGATCAAACCATTCTGCTGACTTTACTGATACACTTTATACTCTGTTTGCACGGTCAAAACAAATGTTCACACTGCACTGTTTGCACATACTTTATTTTATTATTACTTTAGTAACATTTTTATTCCTTTTGTGTATTTTTATCTTCTATATTGTTTATCGTTGTTGTTCGCTGCTGAGGGCTACCAAACGAAATTTCGTTTATCACTACAATGACAGTAAAAACCTCTTTATCTTTATCTATTCAGAGCCTTGTGACCAACATTGCAAATCATAACAGAAGAAAGTCAATGTCGTCTCCGTACCACGAGCAACCTGAACTGTTTCAATGGGACTGACATTAGTCGCTTGTAAAATGGTAGTTTGGCATAATGTCCTTCTCCGTGTCGCCTTTAGCTCCGCCCAAGGTCCAGGTGTACAGCCGAGAGCCAGGACAGTTTGGGCAAGAAAACATCCTGATCTGCCGAGTGAGTGGCTTCCACCCCCCTGACATCAGCATCCAGCTGATGAAGGACGGGCTGGAGCTCCCCAACGCCAACCAGACCGACCTGGCCTTCAAGCAGAACTGGCACTTCCACCTGACCAAGAACGTGGCCTTCAAACCCATGCCTGAGGAAAAGTACAGCTGCAAGGTCACACACGGGAGTACCGTTAAAGACTACGCCTGGGGTGAGTTGGGGTCGGAGTGTGTGTGTGTGTGTGTGTGTGTGTGTGTGTGTGTGTGTGTGTGTGTGTGTGTGTGTTTGTTTAACGTTCTCATAACCGAGGGGCGGGCAGAAAAACATAACATACTGCCAGCACAGTTCAGGCAGTAGAGAGATATTAGATAAACGTAGTACATACCTTTGCCAAGGCTGGGAATTTCACTGTTTTTATATTTATTTACATAGAGAGAGAATAAAGTGATATGGACCTCGATGCAGGTGTGCAGTAAAATACACAGCTGTAGACATTATAGACGTCATGTATCGAGTCATTTGCCCTCGATGAAGCAGAAATACACAAATCAAATGCATCGTAAAGCATATGTTGATGCATATTCGGTTGTACAAATGTTGCTTCACCAGCTTTTATGACATTGATTAAAACAATCTTCTGAATGCTTTTTCTTTTTTCAACAGAACCAAACATGTAAAGCACATGTTGGCGGAGGCCCGCGGCTACAACAGCGTCTATTCTTCACTCTCCAATCAACAGGATCACCGTCTCTCCCGACTTCCTTGCTTCTCTTTTTGCCCACAATACATAAATATTGATATACTACGGGGAATTCTTCACTCAACTATCTGAACGAGAGAGAGTGGACGGGCTGCACGGCATTTAGGCGTTTGTAATTTAGCAATGTGTTGCTTGGAATACTTATTTTCCAGTTTTTGATCCTGAAATGTGTGTAGCTGGAAATTTAATATTTCTTTGTTTCTGTACGCAAAGTGTTGAGATTTAATGACTCTCATGACTCTTTTCTTTACCTAGATGAGGCGATCAAATGCTATTTGGTGACATTATTAATACACAAATGGGGTGTTCTTGATAGAAGTGTGTTTTATCATTTTGATTTGTAATTTGAGGTATTTGTTAATGCCTTCTTCTAAATAAATGCCTCTTGAAAACCTCCTAATGTCTTAATTTAAAATAAAACAAATAGTGGTGCGAGAAGTATTCCGATATTTTACTGAAGTATAAGAAGCAATATTACTGTGTAAAAATGACCCTGTTACAAGCAAAGGTCCTGCATTCGAGGTAAAGGTAAAAAACTACGTAAGTATTAGCATCAACATATAGTTTAAATGTAAGTATAATCTACATCTGCAATATAACAAGGAGACTTGGAGTAAAAAGTACAATATTTGCCTCTAAATTGTAACAGAGTGGTGACTGTGTCCTTGAGCAAGACACTTAACCCCAAAATTGCCAAAAATATGCCTATGGTGTTGAAATGTGATAGAATCTGAATTGTAAGTCACTTTGGATAAAAGCTTCTGCTAAATGACTGTAATGTAGAGTATAAGTATAAAGTAGCATATAACTGTATATTTGAATGTTCTATTTTCTTCATATCTAAATATATTTAAGTGTAGTTTAACTTGCATTTCATTGTGCAACCCAGTGTTGTGAAATTACAAAATTAACCTTAAGCAATTTCAGACAGTGGACTATTTCCCCCTGTTAAATGACAACACGTTCATTAGGTTGATATCATTAGTGTGTGCGTGTGTGCGTGTGTGCGAGAGGCATTACAGATAATAATCCACAACAACATGACCTAGGCTTGAGCAGCTCGCTGGCAGTTCAGACGAACATTATATTTGATGAAACTGCGCCACAGAGAGCAACGTGTCATTGTAAAGTCTACCTAGCGACAGTTCCTGCTGATTATTCTATTGGTGGACTATGTGGACACCCGGATGTACAAGATACCCGAAACTCGTTTTTGGTGGGCGGGGTTAGTGGCATAGTTTTGACACCTCTCACAAAGCAATCCGGAAAAGAAGACGTTCTTACTTTCGATTTGTCTCGCGGCGCAGTTTGGACAGATAATCTGTAGAGAGACGAAGTGAAGCTGAAACCATGAAGACATTTGTCTGTACACTTCTCGTCGGTCTGCTCTGCCTTCCTCCTTCACTAGCCAAGGCATGTAAGTATTGTGCTATATGTAGCGGTACTACTTATTTATAAATGGCGCTGTTAGTCCAGGTCGGACCAGAGGGCTTCCGTCGTTTGAATGTGAACAAAATGGAGACCAAAGACTAGTTCGCCTAAACGTCGATCAACACTTCGTGCGGTGTGTGAGAACAGTAGAGTTTAAATGCCAAGTTAATAAGTGGTACATGTTACGATGATAATGCAGTGAAACCAGTAATGTTGGCCTCATGTGTGTTTTGTCACTGAGCATCTATTATTCCAATCTAAATGTATTCTTTGGAAGATGTATCTTAGCTATACACAGATCCAAGTACATGAAAGTGAAACCTAGGTAGTGTATTTCACACAGTTCTGTTTGAGTTGAAACCATGAAAAATAAGAATAAATAATGCTAAACAACTTTTTTTGCATAAAAGAAGAATATGATTTTTTCTGTACACGTGTGAGCGTTTTCTTTTCTGTTTCTCGGCAGCTCCACCCAAGGTTCAGGTGTACAGCCGACTCCCGGGAGAGGTCGGGAAGGAGAACACCTTAATCTGTCACGTGACCGGCTTCCACCCACCAGAGTTGAACATCGAGCTGCTCAGGAACAGCCAGGCGATGGCGGGAGCCCACCAGACGGACCTGGCCTTCGAGGACGACTGGCACTACCACCTCACCAAAATCGTGCCCTTCACCCCACAGAAAGAAGAAGTGTTCGCCTGCAAAGTGACTCACATGGGGAAAACCAAGATCTATACCTGGGGTACGTGTCCGTCTCTCTCCCACCATTGATATCTGGATTAGGTTTTCAGTGTCAGTAATCATTTAGAATAATACAAGACAACCAGACATCTACACATTACTACACTTTACCTTTACTGTAATGACAAAAAACAAATCTGACACAAATCATTAAAGATGGAAAAGTACAATTTTTAAGATAACATACAATATATAGCCTATATATGAGATATGTCTTTCATAATCATATAAGCAGAAATGTGTTGATATATCTTGAATATAATAAAATAGATAAATATATCTTTTCCTTGTTTGGTCTCACCCAGTAGTCCCATGTCATGATTCCAGCAATATCTATGTGAATCACATCTAATAATAATCATCATTTACAGCCCAGGTCATACAGTGAGCCTTACCCTATCTTTATTTAAACAAGAGAAGAAGAAACTTAACACAGTGTGTCCCAATAACTCTTAATTGACCCACCCAAACGGACCAGGTCTGCTTTATTACTCTGCTTGTGTGTTTTTTGCACAACCAACGTGTTTATGATGTAATTGTTTACAATAGGACAAAGTTCTTCCTCCTCCTTTGTCTCTCCGATGTGCACCAGATTGATCATTTAGGAATGTATGTGAATCAGGGTAGGAAATTTACATATTTTTAGGGGGCAATTTTTGCCCCCACTGACTGAAATCCAGGGGCATTTAAAAATAATTGGGGGCACTTTTTGAAACTTGTAAAATAACATTTAACCTTTGTTCAAAATAATAAATATACTTATTTAGGCTTACAGTATATGAGCAATTGTCATCAAATGGCAATAATAAGACTATTAGGTAGTAGTCTACAGCAGGGGTCTTCAATGTTTTTCAGGCCAAGGACCCCCAAACTGATAGAGAGATAGAGCAGGGACCCCCGACTATATATATTGTATAAAATTGTGTTTTATATTAAACTGGGCCTAGTGCCGTGTATAAACATACCTCTTTA